GCCTGGGAATGGCAGAAAGTATGGAGACAAGTAAGTGACTTCTCCTCAGATCCCGCATCCCCTATCCCTCTCAGGCACTCCCCTCCCAAAGTCCCTCCATGCCCAACCTGCTCCTGCCCCCATTCTTCTGGCAAGAACGCCTACCCTCAGCCCACTTATATACCCTACCTCCTACCCAGACCCTCATTCCCAGCACACTCCTACACCCAACCTCCCACCCAAACTACACTCTTCTACACTCATTTTGTCATCACAGGTGGTTGGCTTGTGGTCCGTAGAAAGGGCTGCATTGAGCAGTGTGGGCCATGATCTAAAAAGGTTGAGAACCACAGCTCCGGGGTACAACTAAGTCTCCTTCATGGCCCATTCCATCCCCTCACCCACTCCAGGCCAGGCTAGAAACATGCTGCTCAAGAACCATAGGCAGGGCTTAGACTGCAGCGGCCACATGGCAAGTCATTAGAACTTGGAAAGGACCCAGCAGCTCCCCAGCTGTAGCTCCGCAAAGGCTCTGTCCACAAAGCTCCTGGCTGGGGGGCTTGGCTCAGCTCACCCTGCTCATTGGCTTGGCTCAGATGCTCTACCTGAACCAGGAGGAAGCAGAGTAAATTACCTGAGCAATGAGGCAAATCCTTGGCTGGCTACTTCAGACCCTGCCTACACTCCACACTCCTAATCCCTGCCTGTGGCTGGGTGGGCCCTGACACTGCCCACAATAGCTGCTTTTTCCATCGCGGGCATAGCAGTGTCTGGTTGTGCTGCTGCTTCGGGGGAAAGGGGAGTGTCTTGGGGCGATAGCTGCATTGTTCCTGTAGCTCAGCTCCCCCTCTTCTGCCTTGATTCTACTCTGCCACCACCAGCCTCTTTGTGTGGATTCTGGATTCCAGCCTTCCTTGTGGCCAGCCTGGCCTTTCATTTGTTGTCCCCCTTGGCTGCACAGAATCTACCGTTCAACTTTTCCCACCCTGGGGGCGCAGTCCTCACACAATCAGCCAGACCCCTTCTTGGACCTTCCTCTAGTGCTGGGAAGATCCCCTGTGATCTTATAAGATTAAAATATGACCATGTAGGTCATATTGCTACCACTATTAGCACAATTTTGTTGTAATTGTGTAAGTGTATCATGTGCAGTGTCAATGGGAACATTCTGACGTGATTATTGTGATTATCCTGTCTGCATGTGGACATGATTTTTGTACCCCACGTTATGAATACTGGCCATATTTCAAATATAGTCACTGCTATGGAAACATCTAAAATGTCATTTCCATCCAGTCTAGCCAGCACACTGTGAGTGGAACATTCAGAGACATGGTCCATCAACAAAACATGCAGACCCTGGAAAGCTCATCTGCCCCTC